GAAAATGTTATATAACTTTTCCCAACCCGAATATACAATACTATACTTGTAGGCAGTACTGATTTATAATGTATACTTATGAGTATACATATATATTATCTATATATATATATTATACTTATATATACCTTATAATAACTATGTTACAAAATATATATATGATAGTATAATATTAACAAATAGTAGCATTCCCTATATAGCAGTATATATATACCATAATCCGTGTATACATAGTTTAAACGTCAAGTGTACCCGATTTATATAGCTATAGTGCTACTATTATATTCAATATAATATAGGTATATATATATAGATATATATCATTTAAGATATGATAATGAAATGACATATTTTTATTAATACAGCTGTATTATATATATATTAATATATAATTCATACTTCATTAGTAATACTATAATCTGACATTGACCCTATACAGGTTATACCAGCGCGATACGTGGATAATAATATATAGCTCAACCAGTGAGTGTGAGTGAGAGCGTGTGAGTGCGGCAAACACTGTATATATATATTATATATACCAGTAATAATTAGATAATATACAAAGCACGTGAGGTATATATATATATACAATTACCTATGCAGTATATAGTAGTGGTATATATAGGTATTTACCCCACGTTAGATAGTTCTTAGTGTGTGACAGCGTATGAGCTAAATATAACACCCTATTTTTAACACACCACCTATACAACAATAACCACCATCAACACACACACACCTAAACTATATACACACACTATACCACCATCCAACACTACACTTATAATACTGTATATAAATATCAAACAGGCATATATATTATATATAGGTGAAATAATTGGATATCATAGTATTATAGTATATATATAGTAAGAGAATATAATATAGTAGATAGTATATACTATAATTAAATATATATATAAAGTAGGAGATAAAGTAATATATATATACATAGTATGTCATATTAGAGATAAATAGTAATCTAGTAAAGATACTATATATATATACATAAAATATATAGTAATTATATATATACTAAAATATTAATTGATATAATAATATAATATAATGCAATAGTAATATTATATATAAATAAAACCCAAAAAAGACAAAGAAAGGATAATTAGTGCGTATATATTATACATTATCATGCATATACACATTACTCTGAGTATATAAGTATGCGTAATGGTATGGTATATATATATATATAATATATATATACATATATGCATATACTATATTAGTATATAAACATATATGATATATATTATAATATATTGAGATACTATTTATATATATAATATATATATAAATATATATATATATATATAGTAGTAGTTGATAAATTATATATATATACTAGGAAATGATACTGGTTAACACTATAAATTGAAGTAGTAGGTAATATTAATATATATATGGATATATATATTATATATAATAACAATATATAGTAAAGATTATATATATTAGTATGAGTATTATATATATATATATATTATATGACTAATACCAAGAATAACATAATTAGTAATAAGTATTCAACACTACACACTAACACCATACAACTAATCATAGCTATGTCAACTAACACACCAAACTAATACCTCACAAACTAACAACACACCCTAATATACTAATAACATACTACATATATATATATACACACACCTATAACACACACAACTAATTAAATATATATACAAGTATATTAGTATATTAATAATAATACACACAACACTAATAATATATAATAGACATTTTATATATTGATATACAGAATATAGATATAACATTAAGTAATATAATCATATGATATATATTAAGTGTAGTAAGAATATCAGAGATATACATATTAGATATAATAATAATATATATTATAAAACTTATATTATATTATTATAGTAATTACATTACCTAATTTATAAAGACATATCAATAGGCAGAAAATATACATAACATATACTATACATATGAGCCTATTACACTATATAGCTATAACAATAGTTAAGATAGCATATATAAGTAGATAGATAGCCCATAAGATAAGACTATAGACCAAAAAATAATATATAGCAGAATAGCTATATATATCTAATATATATATATTATACAACTATAAGCAAGAACCGAGAATATATTAATATTAGGGTACGTTCGGTATAATATAAGTAGGTAGTAACTGAACTATAGTTTCAGTTGGAGTTTCCTAACAACGTATATCGTCCTATTAATATGTTATATATTACGTAATAATAATATCTGAACAAGTATATCTAGCTTATCTATAAGGTCCCCAGCTATAATAATAGTAACTCCCCTATCTTACATACTATATATAGTGAGTGACAGATATTAAGTTTATACATATATATATATATAACATATATATAGAGATATATATAAGATAATTATATAAATATAAGTAGATTATAGTAAGAGAAACATAGTACACCCTTGCCGAAGTTACATATCCCCGTAGTACTGCATATATACTTAGTGCACTCGATTATATCAATACCTCCTATACACCTAACCCATATGATTGCTATACTACTTACCTAGTTATCATACTATTCATATATGTACATCTAATATTACTAAAGTTACTATCATATATATATAATAATGATAATAGTACATTTCATACACCTTACATACCAGCATATGTACGTAGTATATATAATATACTATATATATATATATTATATAGTATATACTATATATATATAATATATATATATGCATACAGTATACTATCTCATATATTAAAATTAAGCATATGTATTTCTATATATTACTAATTATGAATGGTAAATATATATGTAATAAAAGTATAGTAAATGAAATAATATTAACAATATATCACATAATCATATACATATAATATTATACCATACATCATATAACAGTATAACTAGCTATATAATATTATACTGACATAGCTATATATATAATATATATTGGTTATATATAAGTCTACAATATTTTAACTATACATAGTGTATAGAATTATAGCTATATATTAATATAATTACGCATAATATATAGTCAACACATGTATACACATTTTAATTATTAAACCATTATTTTTGTTTTATTAATTTTAATAAGTATAGGCGTATACTTAGAATGAGTAAGACATAGTATGGATGTATATGCACGAGACTATACTATACATGAGTATTTATATATAATATATATAATATATATATATATATATATATATATATTATATAATTATATGTAATATATATATACAATTTTTATATACATTATAGTATTAGATATATAGTATCGAATACTTAACTATAGTATATATATATATTAGTGTTATGTATATACTATACAGGTAATACATACTATACAATTATCCATAAGGTATAGTATATAGGTAAAATATATTAACGGGCTGTATACCAGTGATATATGTAGTATATATAAGTATCTAATATATATATATAACATATGTAGTGCTATAGTGAATAATCCTATCACCCTTATAATATATATATACTATTTACCTATATATATATTATACAATTAATGCATATATATGATAGCCGTAATATATATAGTGCCTGATATAGCGGTGAACCTAGGTATACATACTATGACAATATAGCTAGCCCTATATATACGTATAACCACGTATATAATCTATCATACCGCCGCCGCCGCTACGTACTTTCATGTCTCATTACCCCTCTATTACTTCACTACGCTAGTACTTCCTGCTTATCCCCCTCATAACCTATCATAAGCCCGTATATACTATATATATATATACTGATCTATAATTTTAACTTAAACTCTATATTTATTATTCCTACGACTAACAAAAAAAAAACTCTGTCATTTGACTTTAGTCTTTTTTAGTATAGCTTATATACTCCGTAGCGCCGTAGCCCCTATATACTTACTTCTGACTATACGCCCGTATACTCGCCCCATACTATTCATTACCGTATCTATATCTACTATACCCTATCATATTACTCTGATACTATACAGTATATATATACTATATATTATATATATATAATATATACACATATATATAGATATAGTAGTTATATATTATATTATATATATATTATATATATATATATATATTATATATATATACAGTATATATATACATTTATATTTATATATATAATACATATATTATATATATAATATATATATTATATATTATATATATTATATATTAATAATATATATATATATATATATATATATATATATATATATATATATATATAAATCATATATATATATATTATATATATATATATACTAGTATATATATAATTATATATACATATAATATATATATATATTATAGATAAGATAGATAGAATAATATAGATTATATATATATATATATAATATATAATATATATTAATATATTCATTATACTATAATAGATTAATATAATATATATATAACTAATAATAATATAGATATAAATATACATAATATAATAATAGACTATAAATATATAATACATACATATATACATACACACATACTAACACAAACACACATCAAATTAATATATATATACAATATAAATATAATTATCATAAACAATCATTAATATTCTATAACATAATATATATCTCTAACACATATATATCAATTCCATATACATATGTTATGAGCTATATTAATATATATAATTAATCCTACTTAAATATTATAATAGTACTAACTAATATATCTCGACTATATAATAAGTCAGATAGCTATAATATATAAAATGGATAATGATACTATGAGTAATATATATTTATATTCTATACCTATATTATATATAAAACATAACTATATATATATATATATATATATCATAATATAATATTTATATATATATATATATATATATATATATATATAAATATGATATTTATTTAATGTATGTTTGCATACATACAAATTTACATGTGTTCCCAAAAGCATATTTTAAATAAGAGATATAGCAAATATCCATGCAAAATATCTTTAAAGGTTTTTATATTCAGATTTCATATCTTTACAGGTGTGCAAATGTTCTTCTTGTGGCTGTGATGTGATCCTGAAAGAGAAACGTGAAGGTCGTGGCTCTCTACTCTCGTGCCAGGTTCCCTGACTGCCGTGTCTGTGTTTGGCTGCCAGACACCATTTCTTTCTGTGGCTGTTTTGGAAGAAACGGTAATCAGGTGAGAAGTTGGGAAAGGGTGAGTGTGTGTGAAAGAAATGAAAGAGAGGAGGGAGCGAGGGAGGAAAGTTTAAAGGGGGATGTGTGAAAGGCATGCAGGAAAGATATAAAGAGTGAAAGATTTAAAGAGAGAAATATTTGAAAGGACAGAGATTTAAGGAGAAAGAGAGGGAGGGAGGGGGAGGGGGAAAAGGTTGAGGTGAAAGATGCATAGAAAGATTTAAAGATAGAAAGCTTTAAATAGAGAAAGATTTAAAGAGAGGCAATATACCTGAGACCTGATTCAGATCTTGCTCATTCTGTCTCACTACTGCTATATATATATATCCATTTTAGTTAATTATTTGTTTGAAGAGGAACTCGTGAATAGTTTGAAATGAAATTATTTATTTTTATTTCTTATGGTGCCTATTATCCTTTTCCTTTTTGTGTACATGTTTCTGTTTGTGCTTGTGTTCATAATAGGTATACATTAGTGAAAGATGGGAAGAAAACAGAAACACTGGATAGATCATGAGACAATGAAAACCAGAGCACGGTTATTATTATTATTTGTGTTTGAGAACTGACACCTTATATCCTCACTGCTTTTCTCAGTGTGCGGGCTCACCCAGAAAACTCCGATTCAAGTTCAAGCCCCGTTCCTATATGCCATATATCCCTGATGAGTATGTGGCGTGCGTGTGTGGCTGTGATCAAGACTTTCTTGACACACTGGACATCCGAGCCATCACTGCTGTAGGACCGCAGGCCTCGCAAGGTATGGTTATATCTAGACTTACCTTTGTATGTTTTTGGGATTGTTGGTTAATTAAGTACTTTTATCTTTAGTTCCTTAAGTGCTTTTATCCTTAAGGTTGACAGTGAATTTAAAGCTAGAAGCCTGATATTTTATTGTGAACAGATATAAAATTAGATGCACCAAAGAACACCATGTCCTCAAATTTGCTGCACTAGAATTAGAGAGAAATTGCGCAATAGTGAATGTAATTGTTATGCAGAGAAAGAGGCAGTAGAGAAAAAGATACTAATAAAGAGAAAGAGTATATGTAGATGAGAGATAGTTGTCTCTTGTATCTTGGCGCGGCAATGACAGTACGTTACAAGCTACAGTGACTCAGCAAGCATCTAGTAATCATCCATAAATCAAAATCTTCTAAATAATTACTCTCCTAAGAGACAATAACTTATAGGGTGACCTTGAAGTAGTTGGTTAGCTAGAGATTTAATTCATTATAGAATATTTAGCATAGTAAGCTAAAGGATTAAAAACAGTGCATTTTTCTGCCACTTGCTGTGCCACATCGAGTCATTGTATAAAGTTGAACAATAACTATAAATCCGAGACCTGTGATCTAGGTGTGTGAGAAAAAAAAAGATATCATGCGGATTATTTCCAAAGGGCAGTAGAGCATGGGCTGTTTTGTTGAGTGGGTAGGTTAGTTGAAAATGGCGATTAGTCTTTTGTAGCTCATTTTGTAGATAGTAAACAGTGGTGAAATCTATGGGCTTTGTAGTTGGTTGTTAGCACTTGATTTCTTGTTTTATTGTTGGCGGGCACAGTGACAAGTGGGTGACAATTACAATATAGGTAAGAAAGAGCCAAACGCGATCAAGTATATATTGGCGATGTTTATAACACAAATGTATTGGAAGCTTTGTTGTCTAGCTAGTCAGAGGCGGGAGAAAATATGACCACACATCTATTGTCTCAAAGAATGGAAGAACCTGCCACCTAACCCGTCACTCTTCCCCATCATGAATCATCCCAATATAACCATCTACCGATGAGAAAAATTCACAGATCCTGCGCCGCATACTTAATAACTGTTTGAGCAGAATTTACAAGGCTGAGATGATACTAAGCGCTCTGACCATTCAAGTCCATCCAACCACGCTTATAAGGACTTATGTGTCAACCAGGCGCCCTCCTGGCGACCGATGACATTAGGCCGAGTCTTGACTCATACTATGTAGTAGAGTATTATAGCGAGATTTTCCACACAATCCCCGCCCGGCATGTCGGGACTTATGGAAAGATCCAAATTAAACCCCATATCCAGATAAACTGAGCAGTTATTGATTGAAAGCATGAAGAATGCACTACCGCAATTTATATATGAATATTTAACCTCTCCGATCGGGGATTCGATTCCCCGCACTGCCAAGGGGTGGCGTTAAGAGATTACGAAGGGGCGTGGGGCCGCGTGCTTGAGANAATTCCCTTCAGCAATAAATCCCCTCCCCCCCCCCCAAAAAAAAAGAATATCCACATGAATTTCTATAA